CTGCAACCTCCACCTCCCGGGTTCCAGTGATTCTCCTGCTTCAGCCTCCTGAATAGCCGGGACTACAGGCACCCACCACCATGTCCAGCTAATTTTTTGTATTTTCAGTAGAGTCAGGGTTTTGTGATGTTAGCCAGGATGGTCTCGATCTTCTGACCTCATGATCCACCTGCCTCAGCTTCCCAAAGTGCTGGGATTACAGGTATGAGCCACCACGCCTGGCTGGATGCTTTTATTTTTTTAAGCAAAAGAGTCCTGTTTTTAGTTATGTTTGTAACTCCTACAATTTCTGCTATAGTACCTTGTACACAGTAGGTGCCTTACTCATTTTTGTTAAATTTTGTTCATCTACAATATCTTTTACTCATTCTAAGCTATAAAATAGGCTCCAAAGCTATAAACATAGAGCACAATGTATGGTTCCTTTTGACAGTCACAGGGACATCATGAGCACACCAGGCATATCGCCATTCATGGTCTCAGTTAGAAATGACATCCACACAGGATGTGGCTGTCCCCAGGATTCTCAATGTGGCTTGACCTTGTCAATCATGTGCACTTACAATGGCAATATGCAGATTTGCTCATATTCTAAGTACGCCCAGAAAGTTCAGGATTGTGTTAAAGCAACTTGACTAAACAAATAGCAGCTTAGTGGAGTGGACCTGCAGTAAATACCTTTGAGGTTTGATAACATAAATATGTCTGGTGTAAAAAGATTGGACCAAATAACTAAATATTTGCTTGGGTATAAAAAAACAAAAAGAATTAAAAATTGTCATAAATGTGTACAAACTTCCCGATCATAAATGTAGAGTTGGTTTGCCTGGAGACTGAGTGAAACACTGTAAATCAGCCTCAGCTTGTTCTAACACTCATATTTCCCAATACACTAATTCAATCAACAAAGCTCCAAAATTAAATTGGAACCAGAGCTGAGAAGTGGGTAAGCACCACAGGGCATCTTAAGAGCAGGGTTCTGATATACGTGTCAGAAAATGTGTGAGGGTTCTTCCTAATTTAAATCACCAAATAATTTATCCACTGTTTATCAAATACAAAAAAGAGCTGACTTTGCTTTTCTAAACAATCAAATTTATAAGTATAAGAAGACCCTAACACCTGAGCATAATGTTAAGAGAATGCGTCAATGAAAAGGGGTAATAGTCGGCAATTAATTAGAAAGTTGCATATATCCATATTTTGAAAAGGAAGGGGAACAACTCCTGAGGAAACACAGCCAAAAATATTTCCTTGGATATGTCAGAGTTACCTCATAAAATTTCTGGTGCAGAATATTAATGGAGTATTGAATTAGGTCTTTCATGTTATAAAACCTGATCTCTGTCAAGCAGTATGAATTGGTCTTGGGATGTGAAAAACTCTATCATATTTTATTTAGCAATCACCTTTTAACTTAGAACAAGCTTATGAGGAAATCATTGCTTGAAGATATGTAATCAAATATGATAATGCTATTTTAACTGGATTCCTAGAATCTCAGACCAGAGCCAATATCAAGCAAAATATATCAAATAGGTGACAGTGGCCTTTGGCATTCCCTTTCCTCTCCTGGCCCAGCCCTTTGACTCTGTAGTTACGCCCTCTCCTTGGTGACTTGATTGACCTATGATATTTACTTTCCTCCCTCTCAGAAGGTGTCTTTGAAACAGGGAAGGAGCAGGACACCATTTAGTGTTTCCCAATGACATTCCAAGGAGCTAGATCTTATCGCAGACTTCTCTAAAACAGGACTTCCGAGTCAAGTAAACTTAGAAAATGCTGCATTGGACAAAGTGTTTATTTGCTTGTTTTTGCCGAATGTCTCAGAACTTCTATCACACTAATGTGCACGGAGCATCTCCTAGAGAATGATATTTCCTAAATTGGATTAATTACAGCAAGCCCTTGCCAGTAACATCCATTAACATCTCACTCTTTGGGTAACACTGATGCAAGGGAAAGAGTGAACACAGGACAAGCCTGAGCTCAAAACTTGGTTCTGCTACTTAGTTGAGAAACTTCTCTGAGACAAGGTTTTTCATTGATTGGTTAGTGTCTGCTGGATTAGGTTTCCATTGCTTTTGCTCCCAGTGTTGCAGTCAAGAAAAATATTTGGGAGCACAGAGTGATAACTTCTTAGGGTAATGTCACTTGAATAAAGTAGTGTCTTGACAGAACTTGGTTGGAGTTTGTAGAATCATCCAAGCTAAAATATTTTTGTTCTATAAAATGTATTCTGTTCTTCTCCTTCTCTAAATTCCATGTATCTCCTTTCACTGTCTGCCTTCCGGGAGGCTATGCAAAATTGGTGGAGATATTAAATCCCCAAACTAAAAGAGAAAAGCATGTGAATGTGAGTCTTCAGTTGACTTTAGAGGAAACATATTGCTTAATAGAAATGTGTGGGAAACAATGATAGTGGGCAGTAAATACCAGATTAATTACATTTATTTAATATGCTGTAGAACCAATGCAGATAGCCGAACTTTTAAATAAAGCACTATAATTTTACCATTTTTAGTACTAGACTGCAAATTTACAAACACTTGTATTGAAAAACATGATTTTATTCCTTATTACCAAAAGCAAAATTGCTCTATTACAAAACTATTAGACTGCTATCTCCACATATTTTATTTCTGGATTTCTAAAAAAAAAATATATATATATATATTTTTTATAGTCAACACTATACCCCACATGTTGAAAAATTTGAAACTGCCTAAATAACAAATGTGTGAACTCACAATGATATTCTAAATGATCCAGGAAATGTCATTTTAAATGGTAAAATCAATATGTATTTTGGTTCATTAGAAAAGTACATAATGACTATTTCTAGCATCTCCTCAGACTCTGTTTAACCAGTGTGTACTGTGATGCCTGGCCTGAAGCACTTCTATTTTTAGTTCTAATGGAACAGTCTTAAATTGCTTATTTTCTGTTTACTAAAGTCGTCCGGTTTGTTACCATGGAAACTATGACAAGTGCTCGAGCTAACTATTTTATTAAATGAATTGGAGACATAGCTGAAGACTGAAGATGCAGCATGCCGTTCCTAAGGCATATTTTCCAACATCTGTAAAACCGTTGTCACAAGTATAGATATGAAATTAGTTATAAATAAAGTTATCCACATTTCGAATTTGAGAGGCTGTCCACATTTGTATTATAACTAGCATATCTGAATGATAAGTAGCACATAGGCATTCCCAACTTACAATAAGTCTTTCTAAAAGCATTATTTGTTGATCAATTCCTTGGAAATTAGAACATATTTTACCCATAGAAACAATTATTTTACAAATAATTGTTAGATCTCCAGGTCTACTCTCAAAATCCCTTCCCTGTGACGTCCTCGATCTATAGCAATATCCATTATAGCTTTTGTTCTCAGCTCTAGCAGCAGGAGCCAAGATGCAGGATAAGAAGAAAGGAAATAGTTTTCTTATGCTTACTGTAGTAGAGCTTACATAGGTCACCATGTGGGAATACTCACATCTACTGGCCTTTGCAGATATTAGGGCTCCCAAAACCATTCAGCTATTTGTCTGGCCCCTGTCTCTAGCTTTCAGGGGTCCTGACACTTGCTCACATTTCCTTCTCAAGTTTCATGCCGGACCAGTCTTGCTCTCAACCTGCCCCCACCTCTACATTGAGCCATCGTTCTCCCCAAGATTCAAGGTGGTCTCAGCTAGTTGTGAAAAACAAAAGCAGTCAAAATAGACACTATTTTCTAAATCAGGAGGGTCTGATCTTTTGCTTTCCCTGGGCCACATTGGAAGAAGGATTGTCTTGGGCCACACATAAAATACACTAACAGTAACAATAGCTGATGAGCTTAAATAAATAAATAAATAAATAAATAAATAAATAAATCACAAAAAACTCAACATTTTAAGAAAGTTTACAAAGTAGTGTTGGAGCACATTCAAAGCTGTCCCGGGCCACAGGTGGCACATAGGCCATGGGGTTGAACAAGCTGGTAAATGATTAAGAGCACTTTCTGAAGTTTTGGCATTTTAAAACTATTTTATTTTTAACCCAGCTGGAACTGAAATACATTTCAAAACTATGAAATTTCCATTATCTTGACTAAAAAGCATATTCACGGGGTGTAAGTGTGAGGAAACTGCTTTGAGGGAATTCTAGAAATCAGATCCAAGGAGTCAGTCAGAAGTCAGTTAATTTAATAGAAGTAAACTTTTCTAGTGTATGCTCTGAATCTTGGACCTGTGGGTTTCTGTTGGAAGATGGATGGTGGTGGTTGATTGCAAACTGAGTCATCCCTTTGATTATTCATTTTCCAGATAATTCTAATGAAATGTATCTTACTAGTGCTGTAATTTTGCTTTTAAAAGAATATCATCTTAAAGAATATATCTCATGAAGATTACCAACACAATAAGATAGACAAAATTTTGTTCTTATTTTCTAACAGAATAGAAACCAAACAAAACCATTGTAATTTGGATGTTGTGAATTTTGCCCGAAAAAGAAAAGAATTACTGTAACATATATGAGTCAATTTACTATTTTATGTGCAATAAATTAAAAGAGAAAAAGCATAAAATTTGCCTTTGTTAAAATCAATATGACATGAGTTATCTTCATTTTTATATAGCTATATTATATAGAGATTCCAATTTAATCAAAATTTATAAGAAAATGATAAGAATTATTTCCAGAAAGTTAAAGAATATATATTTTTAAAAATTAATTATTATAAGGATGGGTGTGAAAGCAAAGAGAATTTGATATTTCTGTTTTTCCGCAATGTAGTAACTGATTTTATCTGTAATGTTTTTCTAGAAAAACATATGTATTTTAAATGAATATGGTATACAATAAAATATGTAGTAAAAAAGTTCAAATTATTTTTTAATACCAGTGATCATTTAAGATACAAATTTCCTTAGGAGTGTATTTCAATTTTAATATTACTTGATAGTTCAAAATGAAGGCATATTTTTAACATTCATTTTTCATCTCCTTAGGGTCCACTTTTATTTGTAACACTCACATAATTCCAGTCAAAAACCAAGAGGGTGTGGCTATGATGTTCATCATTAATTTTGAATATGTGACGGATGATGAAAATGCTACCTCTCCACAGAGGGTAAACCCAATCTTACCAGTCAAAACTGTAAACCGTAAGTAAAAGGCAATGTGTAATAAATATTCTTGATAATTCTGCTACCATAGTCATTTTAATATAGTCTTTATTTCAATTCGGTTCTGAAAATATCTTTAAATTTGAAGTAAAATAATTTTACATGAGAAAGCATTAGCTCATGTTACCTTTTGGAATCTTCCAGAATTTATTGGCTGATCTGAAAGCCATTTAATTTGGATATCATATAATGTATTTAACCCCTGATGGACATTTAGGTTATTTTCAAACTTTGGTTATTAAAATTATGCCAGAATAAATTCTACTTATGTATTATTTTCATATGTGCATATGTGTATTATTGGGTAAACATATCTTCAGAGTCCTGTAAGTAGTATTCCTGGGTCAAGGATGATGCATATATAGTCTTTTCAAATACTGCCAAATTCTCCTCTACATGCTTTGAACCATTTTATGCTACCACCAACCATGAATTAGCCCTTTTCCCCAAAACTATGCCAACAGAGTGAATCAGAATCAGTTTTCTTGACTGTTGTCATTACCATAAGTGAGAAGTAGTACCTCAATTAGTTTTAATTGATATTTATTCTATGAGTAAGGTTCATATATTTAAGTGCAATAGACATTTCTTTATCAACTGTCCATTTCTTATGTACATTTCAGTTGTTTAGTTTTTCTATCTCATCAATTTGGAAAGTAGACAGCAAATAACTTACCTAAAAATAATGTGTTTTTTAACTTTTTCATAAATTTTGTTATTTAAAGGGTTTTTTGGTAATCTGTCTAAATCTATAACCCTTTCCTTTGTTGTGTCTTAAGTTTTGAGACATAATTAGAAAAGCTTTAACCATTGCAAGGTTCTAAATAAATCACTTCCTTTTCCTGGAACTTAGATGATTTCATTTTTTAGGATACTTGATCCATTGAAAGCTTATTTTGATGTATAGTGCAGAGTATACAGTTAATTTGTCTTTTTCCCAATGGCTCGCTCATTGTTCTAACATTATTTATTAAAAAGTATATTTTTTCATGAGTAATTTAAATGCTACCTTTATCATACATTAAACTTCCATATGTGCTTGAATCTATTTCTGTATTTTCTATTCTGTTCTGTTGGTTTATTTATCCCTCAGAATCATAGGTTCATATATATACAATAAATAATTAATATTGCATGATCCCTTATTATTTGATACTAATTTTCAGAAGGTTGAGGTTATTTTTTGATTAATTTTCCATGTGATCTTTAGAAGCAACTTTTCTAGAGCTTGAAAATATTCTTTAATATTTTTATTGGATTCACATTAATTTTATAAGTTAACTTGAAGATAATTGATGTCTCTATAATGTTGTAATTCTATTCAAGAATACAGTATGTATTTTTATTTTCTAAGTCTAATTTTTGTGTCTTTCAGGAATGTCTTAAAATTTTCCTCATTTGTTTACTTTGCTCCTTGGAATTTAACTTGTTGTTGCTTCTATTATAAATGAGACCCTTTCTCCCATTATATCTTCTTATAAAAGTAACTTTTCTTTTGGAATACATTAATTTTACATCCAATTATCTTAGTGAATTCTTAGTTTACAGTGACTTATACACTGACTTTTATGAATTTTTCAAGTATCCTATTACATAAAATACAAATTGTTTGACATTTCCTTTTCAATTCTTATATGTCTCATAGTTTTCTCTTGCCAAAATGTGCTAGGTATTATCTCCAAGGTATTATTAAAAAGAAATCAACAGTGAACATTATGCCTTGGCTCTGATTGTCATATGAATGCCTTTAATTCAAATATTCCCCATTAATTGAAATGATGACATGTGAGTTGAATTGTATGTGCCTTAAAATTTTAAGGAAGTTTCCACTGGCAAGTTTTTTAAGAATGGGTGCTTAAATTTGTAAAATGCCTTTTGTAGCCTCTGTGGAAATGAGTGTGTTATTATTTTCCTTATTTTTAAAATATATTTTATAAATGAAGTTCCTAATATAAACCATTGTTGTATCTCTGGAAGAAGCCACATTTGAACATGACACATTTCATTTGGTAGTATGTTTTTGGATTCTCTTAACTCATATTCATTAGGCGGTTTGCATCAATATTAAATAAGGAGATTGATTTGTAATTTTTGCCTGTATGTGTGCAATTTTCTAAGGTGTTTGTTCAATATTATAATTCCTTCAAAAATAATTGGGAGTTTCTTCTCTTTTTTGTATGCTATTGAACAATTTAAATAGTTTGAGGATTATCCAGACTTTAAAAGTTAGGTGTGATTTCCCTGTGAATTCATCGAGGTACTTACTTGTGGTAGCTGTTTGTGAAGTAGCTCCTTGACAAATTTATTTTTCTTCTTTAATAATGGTCAGCTCAAATTATCAATTTTAACTAGTGTCAGTTTTGCTAGACTTTATTTCCCTAGAAATTATTTCATGTAAATATTTAAATTTTATTTTAATAGAATTATGCAAGATAGTATTTTATGATTTCTTTAAAAATCCTGTTTTTGTAGTTATTTTTATTGAAATTTCTCATTTCTTTTACTATTGTTTAGTCTATTTAAAATTGTTGATTAATCAGTAGCTTTTTTTCTAAAGATCTACCTGTTTATTGGTTTGTTAATTCTATTAGTTTTCAAACTCACAAAATTTTGCTTTTATATTTCATAGTTCAGTTTTTATCAACTTACTTTGTGGCCTCTTTTTTATTGCATTGATTTGTTTTTATCCTTTCAGTATTTTGGTATATGATTTCAAGGCTATATATTTTTATCTAAGTACTGTTTAAGCTATACCCTATGAATTTAGAAATGTAATATTATTTTTTCTAGAAAATATGTAATTTTTGTTTTCCTTGTTTTTAACTTGAGTTGTTTAATATAGATAGCTTTTAGTTTTCCAGTAGGAAAAGTATTTTTAAAGTATTATTTTTTGTTAAGAAAACTTCTGGTTTTGGCCGGGTGCGGTGGCTCAAGCCTGTAATCCCAGCACTTTGGGAGGCCGTGGCGGGTGGATCACGAGGTCAAGAGATCGAGACCATCCTGGCCAACATGGTGAAACCCCGTCTCTACTAATGGTGCAAAAAATTAGCTGGGCATGGTGGCGTGTGCCTGTAATCCCAGCTACTCCGGAGGCTGAGGCAGGAGAATTGCCTGAACCCAGGAGGCGGAGGTTGCGGTGAGCCGAGATCGCGCCATTGCACTCCAGCCTGGGTAACAAGGGCGAAACTCCGTCTCAAAAAAAAAAAAAAAAAAAAAAAAAAAAAAAAAGAAAACTTCTGGTTTTATTGTCTTACAGTCATAAAATGCTTATATTATTTCTCCTTTTGTAATTGTCTAAGATTTTCCTGTGGTTTACTATTTGATCAATTTTCTTGAGTATGCCATGTAAATATAAAAAGAAAGTGGTATTACCGAATATCAGGGTACAAAAGTTGATACCTGCTTTTTAAAACTCTACCTTACTATTATGCTGTCTTCTATATCCTTACTTATTTCCTGTCCTCCAGATATGTCTTGGATTTAAGAAAGTGTATTAAAGACTTCTACTGTTAGGATATTTCTTGGTATTTCTTATTCTATCTCTTACAATTTCTGTTTTATGAATATTGCTGCTCTTGTTTATTTCATAGTCACATTTCATAGTCATATATTTTTATTAGTATAAATTAGTGTTTAGCATTACAAAATATCTTCTTTTTGTTTACTAATTTTCCATCTAAATGCTACTGTATCTTAAATCATGACACTTGAGTTTTCTGTTTTCTTGCTGTATTTTAAAGTTATCTTTTTGTCATTTGTCTTTGTTTCGGTTGTGTCTTTTCTATGTAGTGTGTGGTTTTGATACAGTATGAAGCTTTTCTTTATTGCTTATAGGAAAATAATACCTCTACTTTAATTGATTATAACTACAGTAGATATTTACCTTTATCAGTGCAATTGAAGTGTTTGTTTTCTTGGTATTAACATATTATATGTTAAATACACTCTCTTAAAGTATTTCATTATGTTATCTTTTCTTTGCCCTTTTAAAAACTGTTTTTTGTTGTTGTTTGATTCTGTTTTGTTTTTGATTTTTTGGATTTGGGAAAATTTATATCATTTTCCAATTCCAATAGTCATCTTTATAAGAAAATGTTATATACTGTCCTTAGCCCTTGCCTTTTTTCCTCAGGCAGTATATTTTGGTTCCTTACTTTGAGCAAAAATAAAATTATTGTGGCAAAAAACACAATTACTTTTGCAACAACCTAATAGCTTATAATCCTTTTCCTCTTCTTCCAATCATGCAGTTTTCATCAAGAATATTCTATTTCTTAAGGCTTATTGTTTTGCTCCTGAGTATCCGTAGTCTCCCGCCATTCAGTGTGTCAGTTTCAATAGCATCACTTGACTCCCATCTATTACTAGTAAGGCACTCAGTGAGCTTATCTATTTTCTTCTCCTCTCCCTCCCATTTTGTTGGGATATGGTATTTCTAGCTTGTCAGGTAGGTAATGTGTATATACTTCTTACTTTTATTTTGGCCTCACATTTCTAGCAAAGTATATTTATGTCTGTCTTTTTGTCAGAGATTCCCAAACACAACTTCTTAGATGAAATATTCCCCTTTGGAAAAGTTTTGTCAGTAAAATATTTTCAAAGTGCTCTCGTGTCTAACATGGTTTTGTATCACTTTGACATTTGAAGGACAGCCTAGGCAGATGTGACATTAGTATTTGGTCCATATTCTATGCCTCACGAATCTGGTAGATATCGTTTCATTCTTTTTTTTTACATCAGCAGTTGCTGACAACTAGTCTGATGCCAACCTGCTTGACTGTCCATTGTAAGTGAGTTTGGTATCTGGGGCCTTGTGTACTTTTTAAGCCCTTCTATTATCTCTCCAGAAACTGGTGCTCATGTTACAAACCTGCTCTTGAGATTTCATACTCAGTGTGAGGCCCTCTACTGCTGAAGGGGAACTTTGTTTAATAAGTTTTTCATCACTCCAGAGAGACTTCTGTACTCCTCTTTTCTTC